CTACTCTGTTCACCGATTCCACATGTGAGGTCATCTGGTGCTTGTCTTTCTCTGACTGGCACATCTCACTTAGCATAATGCTCTCCAGGCCCACCCATACTATTGCCAAAAGGACTCCACTGTGTAAATATGCCACAGCTTTTTGTCGTTGTTGTTAATCCTCACCCGAGGATACTTTCCTCATAGATTTCAAGGAACGTTTTCCCACTCCTCAGTCCCATGTCCACAGAGGTAGGGCCTCCTCACCAGTTATAATCAAACCAGGATGCGTAGCTCGGAATGATGATGTGATTGGTCTGCTCGGTTACGTTATCTTCACCAGGGTCCACTGACCGACTCTGATCACCTTTGCTGGGGTCATCATCTTCCTGCAGAAAAGAAGCCAAAGTGAAGAGAAAGAGAGAACTACAGACATGCAACAGCTTTCAAACCTCTGATATCACGTCTCAGAAAATGAAGCTATTTGTTCCCATTTCAAGGACCGGGAAAATAAACTTCAAGTGAAACAGTCTTTCACAATCTTTAAGGCACCTTCACAGGCTGTCCAGGGGACACAGCAGATCTCACTCCTGCCTTTTACACGTGAGGGAATCAACACATTCAAGGTAAGTGCCTCACAGCAAGGTTAGCTCTCACGCCGACTAAAGAACGGTTGTTTCTACAGTGAGGCAGGCAGCTCACTGCCCACAGCGCCTCTCACATGGCCTGTTCCTTACTTGTCCCGGTTATGCTTTACCTGGATCGGATCCCAAACCTATTATTAGTTCTCAAGTTATTGTAAGGAGCTGACTCCAGGACATGAGCAAGGCATGACAGGGCCTCCCGTCCCAAAGACTGAGCACCGACCACCTGCTAACAACTCTGTGTGCACGATCTCACTGACACCCGACAAGAGCAGCAGGTGCTACCCATCACCTGCTTTGTGGTGAGACAATGATACAGAGCCAACCGACTGTCATCAAGATATAATTACGGGGGGCCCAGCTAGAGGCCTACACTCTCAATCACTCCCACTACTGAAAACTACCTGATTTATATCGGAATATAAATTATGGAGGCTTTGCAAGTGATTCCACCTAAAAACCTGGTTTTCTAACAGTAATTTCAAAATCACTGCTTCCCCAGGCACTGCTGGGAAGATGGAAATTGCCTTTTGATAAAACTTTGGGGTCAAGAAGCACAAATTCTTCGGAGGTATGTTAAAAAAGATATTTAAAATCGCAAGGGCCTCAAAACAGAGTCCTTAAGTGAATCGTTACCTTTCCTCCTGTTGTGACCGTCTCTTCATCCTGCTCATCTGTAAAACCAAAACACATCCTTTATTTAAAAAGCAGGGAAAGCTGTTTGGACTTCTTAGAAAGTGGAGATTTCAGTAACTGACACTGGACAAAAAAAAGAGAATGGAGAACTAAAGCAAATCCGCCTCAAGTCATTCAGTAAATGAGAACTGTACACAGAAGCACAGAGGGGAGGAGATTCAAAGCATAAATGATTAAAAATGTCCAACGCGAGGGAATTATAATTAATCTCTGCTGGTCGTGACCGTACCTGCTCGGAGAGGGGCTTCCCTAGGCTCTGGCCTCCTGAGGCTGTGAAGCAGGAAATGGCATTTCCGATCCCAGAGGAAGTGTGTAAGGAACGAGGAGTGAAGAAAGCGGTTATGCTCCCTCCCCCAGACCACATCCTGTAAGAGGCTGGTACCTTGAGGCAAGGGGACGCAGGCCCTCAGCGTGGCCTCACAGAGGACAGGAGCAAACCCACGAGCAATTAAACCAGGCGGCTGACTTCCCCGGGAAGGGAAAGGACCAGTGTGATACAGTGAGAGATTCTGGCACAAATGGTTACATTAAGTTTCAGTGACCTTTTGTTTTCTTTTTAATTACTATGATCGTTAGCAGTGACTAAGGCACTGCGAGTAACCTAACTACCAACAATTTCTTTAAAACTCAGAAATTCTGATTTATGTATAATATCAGAACATAGTCTCATGATTAAAGACGGAAAAGAACGGATCACAGAAAATCAGCGTTCCTAGTATGGGAGCAAACCAAACCACAACGCTGCTGAAGGGAACTGCAATCGACATCTGTTGGGAAGTACAGCAACTGAAAGCAGTATTTCTCAATAAAGACAAACATTCGAGGAGCTGCTCTAAGACAGAAAACAACACAGACATGGGTAGATTTTTTTGTTTTTACCTAGATCGGCTACAGTTCCTCCTTTAACAGGTGTATTCTCACTATCTTTCTTTGGATTTACTAGAAGAAAAAAAAGCATTGTTTTAGGGGGAAAGTTCTACTTGTTTTTAGGAGAAAAACAGAATAAACTAGATTTAAAAACACGCACACCTCACTGCAACTGCCCCACCCCTCAGTCCTCACCATCAAACCACCACGAGCAGCCCACGAGATGTGACCCTACATTTGTAACTAATTACAAAGTACCCACACGCGTAAAAGCAGACACACAAAGCAAAACAGAAAAAGAAGCTGCCAATCCCTTTCTTAAAAAGCGGGTTATTAGTTTCTTGTGTATGTGCTGATTCACATTTTTGTGCCATTCGGGAGAAATGATACCTTTTACACACCTACGTGACTTTGAAACCTATTCTGAGGATGTAAAAATCTTACATGAACGTTATTCATACTGTCCTTCGCGCTCTACTTTCCTCATGTGACTGTGTGCTTGTGTGACACTTCCATGTAATTCCTAGTTACAGTACGTCCCTTTCATTTTCAACAGATCCAGTGTGTCCGTGTGGAGGTTACAAAGTAACCAGCCCTATATTTATTGATTGAAACCAGATCTTAACTTTTCCACTACCCTATAATCAACATTCCCTTCTCCGTATCATCATGCATGTATAATGAGCATATATACATGGGTCTACATTTGAGCTGGCCATTCTATTCTGCTGATGCAGCCAGCCATTTCTCTGTCCCACCACACTACACTGATCATTGTAGCTTTACTGGAGGCTCGACGCATGGAATGCGTGCAAGGGCTCGGCCCTCACAGCCCCGGCTTCATCCCGAAGGACATCTGGAAGGTCGTTCAGCTGTCCGGTCTAATTAGCATATTACGCTTTTATTATTATAAAAGATAGTTCAGGGTCTGTAAGGACTACCAGCACCTTCACAGCACTTTTATCTCAACTAAATCTGTTGATTACTTTTATAAACATTATCTTCCACATGGCCTGTAAAGTACCTCCGTGTGGTCTGCAGTGCCCCATTCCACACAATGCGAGGATTTCAGAAATGCATGTGACATGTTATAGGTGATTGCATATTCCGTTACAAAAGACAGGAAAGGGCATAGCTTACATTATGGTAAATTTCACACCTTCTCAACTAGACAATAGTAATTCTAAATTTAGTTGATAAATTAAGGATAATTTAATACTTACAACAAACTACAAAAAATTTAGATAAAAAGCAAATAGAGAATAGAAAATCCGGAGACCAAGTATAGCAGTGGTTGCAGGGTGGGGGAGGGGTAATTTGGACCCGAGTAGGTCCCAGGGTTCTTTTCAGGGGAATGTAAAGGTGCTGGAATGAAGAGTCAAGCCATCGGGAGGACAGGCAACCGTAAACGTATATGCCCTGAATAGCAGAGCTTCAAAGCCATGAAAACAACTGCCCCGGAGCGCAGGACGATTTACAGGTCCACAGGCACAGTTAGGGCACAGCCCCTTCCCAGGGACTGAGCTGAAACCCTAACTGGCACACAGAAAAGCACCCGCTTTTCCTCATCTATATTGATTCTGTTGGGATTTTTAAAACATGAATTTTAAGATATTACTAAATTTAGACAACATTTTGGTCACAGTGTATCTTCTCAATAAACAAAAAGTACCAAAAGGTGGAGAAAGAAGAACTGCATCAACGCTAACATTAAAAGGGGGGATCTATTCGCACTTGAACGCTGAGAGGGGGGCACAGAGCAGGAAGTCGGCCCCCAGGGCATTGCTGAGATCTCTCAGCTTGCTGAACACCCCCGACCAGACAGGAGAGCACAAACCGTTTTTGGGGAGCACCACTTCCTCGATGTTGGGCACAGGTGTGGGGTCCTCCATGTCCTTGGTGAGGTCTTCCTGTTCCTCTTCCTCCTTCTGACTCCTGCGCTTCCCATAGAGACCAGCTTGGCTGAAACAGCAAGAGCACGTGAGAGAGAAGCAGGAGGACGACCGCGACTTACAGCGAGCCGTTCCAGAGGCTTCCCCTTCACTGCATTTGGAATCTGTGCCCAGAATCACTTTAAAAGACAAGTGGAATCAAGTCAGACGCGTCCCCCAAGCACGGCCACAGGGAAATGAAGTTACCAGGCACAGAACCAGACACAGAACCCTGCGGCACAAACTGCAGGCCGGATCCTCGCCGAGGCTGGCGGTGGTGTAAGGAAGAGCACCTGCTCTGGAAACGCCGGAGGTATTTGCCCGGGTCATAAGGCGTCACTACGGAAGCTGTTCTGTCAGGACACAGGGCGCTGCGTTTCCCGGCTGTTCGGGTCATTCCAATGCCAGGAGCACAAAGCAGTCAGTTCGGACGAGGCCGACCTGGGCCCAACGCTTCTTGTAAAACTGCCACTGCTCCGTCACCGAGTCAGTCACATCAACAGTTACTGCCGGACTAACCCGTGCCAGGATGCCCGGC